TTTTCATATTTATACCACATATACTTGTATGAATAGGAATATGTTTAAAACATGTTTTTTTATCAATTGGGATTTGCATATCTTAGCAACAGCCCTAGCAACGTCGATCATTTTTACGACAGAAATGTACATATTTCCTTCTTATCGTTTTTGTTTCGTTTCAGTTTTAACATTTTTAGACCTTTAAATGTTGTCATTGAAGTGTATTATGATAAGAAAACGAAAATAATTTGATATTGTCATTTGATTACCAAAAACGTCCATAGAAACCCTATTTATACCATAGCAACGCTATATAGGAGACAGTAAAAATGGGTTTTCAGCATGAGTTTAATAATATATAGTATATATTTACATTTGCCATGTGACTTTACATCACCAGCCTACCAGCAACAAATGTTCCACTATACCGTTATCCATATGGGTGTTGATGCTGCCATTATGCCTGCTTGTCAGGTGGCACCTGCATGTTTACGGAATACTTCAAAATTAATATAATAACAAAAAGGATGTCTCCGAAGTAATATTGTATATCAGTTTGTACACATAATTTATTATATGAAACATAATTTATATCTTTTCTTCGACGGAGGTTGAAAGTTCTCGTCACTGTTCTCAGTGGGTTGTTTTGATGGAAGCCTAATTCTGAATCTGTGCATCTATTACAGATGACGTCATTGTCTTTGCTCTTGATAAGAAATGATTTTTGCAAGAACTTCTTCTGTTCCTTTGCTAAACATTCCGTCTTTCTTTCGGCTTCGTCCGTTTTGAGCATAAAACACATTCAAATCGTCTAGGCACAGCACCAGGCATTCTGCAGAACTAAAATAATATAAGTTGAAAGCATTTGCGGACCTTGATAATTCTTTGTTTTATACCAGCATGATTGAATAGGGAGAGATCTAAGATTGATCCAATGAGACTGATTAATATAAGCTCTTCGGATTGGTCTGGTTTGTTTCTGAATCATTTAGGAACGATTTATCGCCATACAAATACTCATTTTATGATAGTGTGACACAGTGTGCCTGGCCGAGCGTATCCCACATCAGCAGGGCAAAATGCACGGAGACCTGATGCTGTAACAATTAAACCAACGTACCACTCAATGGAATCGTCGTTTCAAAACTAGTAGATAGTGTTCAATCATTTGTAACTCGTGATATTTTGCTTGTTTTTTGCGCTATTTTCCAATTTCTTGTCATCAAATCAATTTACTGCTGTCTAAATGTTCTACAGAAGAAGCATCAGTGAAAACAAAATGGATTATACTGACTTATTGTTACAAAACTAACTACGAGGGGTAAACCGGTATTCATCATTATGTCAAGAGTCGCATTCAGCCTGCAATATCGATAGAATGGATGGATGTTTTTACGCTTATAGCAGATATTTTCATTATTTCACTGATGAATAGGACTTCCGAAATTTGTTAAAATACGTCACTATCAATACCAGAACAAAATATCTTTATAAATGCAATGTTTGGAATTTTACGCCTTAATGGGAAACACAAAACGATGAAATATTCAGTGTACAATAATGTCCTCCCTTCTGTTAACCTCATAAATTCGTTGAAGCGTACACCGTGCACTTTGCTAGAGAGGTCGTATGTCTGTTTGATCACTGGCCTGCATGAAATTTTCTTATCGAAGACGATATTCTAAAGAAAAACAACTTTTCAAACAGAATAAATCACGGTGTGATAATCTATTTGTCGCCAACCTAGTGTTAGGATTGGTTGCTAGGGTTTAGCGTCATAATGACAACTTAGTCATTTTAAGACGTGCTTTCGTGTGTGTAATGTATACGTATGTGCTAGATGCAGTATGTTGGTGTATATTTTTGTACTCCTTGTAATAGTGCGGATCTGATGCCGATTTGGAGTGCTGCCTCACTGAAATACCACCCTGAAGGCACTAACAAAGCATCCTGCCAGGTCACATTATACTGACAACGTGGATTCCAGTCGATGCAATGTGGTTGGTCGAGTGGTGCAGTGGATAGCGCACTTGCCTTTCACCAAGGCGACCGGGGTTCGATTCCCAGATCGCAAGTAAAAAGGGCTGGGGTCACCTGCTCGAGGACGTTGGTTTTCTCCGGGTACTCCGGTTTCCTCCCACAGTAAGTCCCCTGCGCTAACATCCGGACCAACAAGAACCAACCAATTAGTATACGTTGTAAAGACTTGTTTCATAATTGTTGTAAAATAAATAAAGTGTATATTAATATGTAATCGATGCGTTTATCCTTCATGCTCGACGTTTAGCAGGAAACAGCAACTACCTTTAAAACTTCGGTATACCCTTGCATGGGTACAGAACTTCCTCACATGAATGAGGTTATACGGCAAAATGTAAGGAGATACCCAAAGAGGCGTCATGAAGTATAAAATAAAAATGATAGAACAGGAATAGACATGATCCTTACTATCGCTGTTTGGGAGCTTTTTACTCATTATTTTTGCCAATGGCCATTAACCACTTGATGTATGACCCGCGATAGGACCTCAGCAAACCCTTGGTATAAAAAGTATCTTCGTCCGGTCCCTCTTCCTCAAGTCTGGTGTCAAAGAACATGCCCAGTCCTCAGGTTCGTTGAACGCGAAACCCCTTCGCAAACATCAAAACTACATTTACATTTATGATTGTAAAGTATAGTGTTTATAGTCCGCGTTCTTAATAATACTCGACCGTTTCACCGACAACCTATCATAAATCAGCATATGTTTCCGTGTTTACGGGAAGACCGGAAGTCCTAAGTGGTTTCCGGTTGTGATGCAAGTACTCAATTTAGTGTCGGTCATCTGACATCATCACAAATCACAGTAAAAACTACGTAGTTAGCTTTACTAATTAAGGTAAAAGGTCCGTGTAATCATAAAATAAATCACATTAGTTTCTTTCTATTATATATGAAATTAATGAAACCAGTCCAAAACTGATCATTTTTTCATTTGAGATAGATTCTAGCAATCTGCATTTTTATGAAATGGTAATTATGAAGGTTTTTTTGTCACTTTCCCCAGTTCTCGGTATGAGATTATGTGCGTTTCAATCAAATTTTGATTAAAATGAGAAATTTTAGATATATGCCGATTTTACGAATTGACATTATGCCTCATTACTTAGAAAGCTTTTGCTATAGTGCTAAAATCGAACAGTATTCATCCTCCGAGTGTTTCTGTGAGCATAGAACGGTAAAGGGCGTAGGTATCGAATTGTTAAGTATCAGTAATGAAGTAGAAACGGTACAAACGTATGTTAACGTTTCTCACACGTTAGTGGACGCGGGAGGAGAAAGCTTTACACTGTACTGGTCCAAAACGTCCATAGGCCATATAGGAACTTGTAGTATACACGATATAACCCGTGTAGGTGCGAGGAACGAATTTATTAATGCGCAGTGTATGTGTAATGAAGACAAATAAGGCATCATGTAACATATGTTTGTCAGCGCTAAATAAAACCTATTATAAACTATTGGATTATCAAGGTCGAGTTGCATTAATAGGCGTTTGATCACAGCGGTAGGCTTCAAAACAAAGGAGTAGATTCACAAAGGGTCATTTTTGGCCCTGTCTTGAATTGTTTTCATATTTATACCACATATACTTGTATGAAAAGGAATAGGTTTAAAACATGTTTTTTTTATCAATTGGGATTTGCATATCTTAGCAACAGCCCTAGCAACGTCGATCATTTTTACGACAGAAATGTACAGATTTCCTTCCTATCGTTTTTGTTTCGTTTCAGTTTTAACATTTTTAGACCTTTAAATGCTGATCTTATAATTGTCATTGAAGTGTATTATGATAAGAAAACGAAAATAATTTGGTATTGTCATTTGATTACCAAAAACGTCCATAGAAACCCTATTTATACCATAGCAACGCTATATAGGAGACAGTAAAAATGTGTTTTCAGCATGAGTTTAATATTATATAGTATATATTTACATTTGCCATGTGACTTTACATCACCAGCCTACCAGCAACAAATGTTCCACTATACCGTTATCCATATTAGTGTTGATGCTGCCATTATGCCTGCTTGTCAGGTGGCACCTGCATGTTTACGGAATAATTCAAAATTAATATAATAACAAAAAGGATGTCTCCGAAGTAATATTGTATTTCAGTTTGTACACATAATTTATTATATGAAACATAATTTATATCTTTTCTTCGACGGCGGTTGAAAGTTCTCGTCACTGTTCTCAGTGGGTTGTTTTGATGGAATCCTAATTCTGAATCTGTGCATCTATTACAGATGACGTCATTGTCTTTGCTCTTGATAAGAAATGATTTTTGCAAGAACTTCTTCTGTTCCTTTGCTAAACATTCCGTCTTTCTTTCGGCTTCGTCCGTTTTGAGCATAAAACACATTCAAATCGTCTAGGCACAGCACCAGGCATTCTGCAGAACTAAAATAATATAAGTTGAAAGCATTTGCGGACCTTGATAATTCTTTGTTTTATATCAGCATGATTGAATAGGGAGAGGGTGAGGAACGAATCTATTAATGCGCAGTTTATGTGCAACGAAGACATATAAGGCATCATGTAACAGCTAAATAAAACCTATTATAAACTATTGGATGATCAAGGTCGAGTTGCATTAATAGGCGCTTGGTCACAGCGGTAGACTTCAAAACGAATTCCCATCGCAGTTCAAGTGGTAGAATAGGTAGGATCAACATAGGTTGGTATATTATGATGGATTATGTCACTTGAATTCGAAAATATTGAGAGAAAAAAATCACTAATATAAAAGCAGGCTTCACTAATTATTTTATTTTCTTATATAGTATCAAACTTTGAAATAAAAAGCACCTCTGTTTTGCTCGAACTAATACCTACTATCCATTTTTACCCATATACTTCGGGTTAGATTCGATATCTTGGTTTAATATAGGTTTAATCTATTCACATGATGATGAACTAGTATACAAAGAGACGACATCATTAATGTCATGAGTGTAGATTGATATACATTGTCACTTTACAGACAGTGATGACGTGTAGTTTAAAACAATAATACCAGGTGTGACTATATTGTATCCACGTTGTAACCAATGATGTGCAAAAATGTCACAGGTGTCGCAGACAAACTACGCTTCGTTAAGCTTTAATTGTCTGCGACACACATGATGATTTTCCCTACAATTCAAAATATCCCGTTCGCCAGGTTAACACCTACAACAGTAACTGAGGAACACGTGATGTCACGTGCTGTTTCCCGCATAAAACAGAATCTCCGCATCAAACGAATGAAGACGGGTATTGTCACGCCGGATGAAGATATGGAAAAATATGGAGAGGAGTTTGCTGTTTATTAGAACGACTTGTCTCATGAAAAGATTCGTTATGAACCTCAAGTTTTTGTTTTTGTAACTTTTTTTTCCAAATGTGTACCTCTTAACAGACAAATAAAAGACTTATTTAATTGATTGACCAAAAGCAAAGCATGAATACTACATAAAAAGCACATTCACTATCGTTTTGTCGTTTGCTCATCGACATTTAATAAGGTAGATGTATGTATACAATTCACAAATTTACATAATAATATTGTACATTACATATTTACAGACAATATTTACAGATATCATTGTAGACCCATTTTTTACAGAAACATCTTGTTGTAGACATAGTATTACTTTACAAACATAACATTTAATACATGTCAATATGGTAATCACGTGAAGCCATCACAGAAACATGACCATCAACCCAAATCCCAACAACACTTTATCATTAATACATTGCAGTATAACCTTTATTTGTAATAGGAACTTTACGACTACAATGTGGGAGATCGGGTTACCCTGCCGTAGGCACGATATTGTCTGACAGATATCATATTGAGGTTGTTTTATTCCATGTCCAGTTCATGTAAAAGGGTTGTGTATCAACAATTGGCTTGGACGTGATAAATTTGGACAGAATGTAGATAGACTATTTCTCTATGTAATTTGATAAACATACCGGAATACTATAAATACTTATTAACGTGTTCTGTGTCAGAATGTTTTAATGGCTCCTAGTCCCCCACAGCAACTGTAGACTGCCATTTCACGGCGAGTTCATGACTTATCCACCAATATCTCACATATTTGTCAGCACAAAAATAGCACTATGTTTTCTTACGTGTGTTCAGCAGCTTCATCTATTTTCATAAACAGTTCAGTAATTCGGTGGGCAGCGTTTAAAATCAACTTAGGAATGCATTGAAGTTGTTGACGAAATTACGAAGTTATCTAAAGACAGTCAAGCCTAAAGTGATGCATACAAATTAAGTCAAGCTTCGTGCCGGTGACGCCTTCACATAGCATCAAATAATACGTAGTTCCGTTTTCATGAGGGATATTCTTCATCAAAGAGTAATTAATTAGTTGAAATCGTAGAATACGTGACTTGGTGTCCTTTCCCGGTACAATTAAAGCATGTATTCTCCTGTCTGCAATTCTCCGACGCCACACAGCTCTGGACAGTTACTCATTATATCGGGCGTTTGGCTCAGATAATGTCGAATCTGGAAATAAAAGCACCTGCTTATTAATTCACGGCTGTAATCAGTCATCTATACACACTCATGAATTCAACCTAATGAGAACATGAGAACACGTAGGATGTATAACGAACGTAATTAGTGCACATTGATTATATTACAGAGATATACTGGGGCTCCGATTTACCTTTTATAACGTACGTTTAATTGATGTCACTGCAATGAAATGATGACGTTTCCAAACTATTACAGTGGTTCTTGTTTTACTAATTACCTGTAGTATGATTGGCAGATACCTGTTTGACGACCTTGATATTATATTAAGCTACGTGACGTGACTATATAACGAGATAGTAAGTTAACACTGTGGAATAATGAAATGTTAGCATTTCGAGATAGTGGGTTAACACTGCGGGATAATGAGATGTTAACATTTCGAGATAGTGGGTTAACACTGCGGGATAATGAGATGTTTACATTTCGAGATAGTAAGTTAACACTGCGGGATAATGAGATGTTAACATTTCGAGATAGTGGGTTAACACTGCGGGATAATGAGTTGTTAACATTTCGAGATAGTGGGTTAACACTGCGGGATAATGAGATGTTAACATTTCGAGATAGTAAGGTAACACTGCGGGATAATGAGATGTTAATATTTCGATATAGTAAGGTAACACTGCGGGATAATGAGATGTTAATATTTCGAGCACCTTAGTTTACTATTTCTCGCCTCCGAATACATTGTGTCTGGAATTTGTCGGCAGGAAATATGAATTCCTTGTATCGCTCTTAAAACATGCGTAAAACTCAAAAAGTATATTAATTGTAAACATTGAAAATTCAATTTGGCTTCAAATCACTCCAAAATTGCTGTAAAAAGTTGACAATATATCTATATATAAATTTATTTATAATCGAAAAAAAATAGAAAGGCGTCAGCACAGCATCAGATTGAGTTTAAGTATATGAATGGCGTCATGATACGACGGAAGGGGATGCTACTTTTTGAGTATGGATTCTATTTGTCTCGTGAAATCTGAAGGGTAATATTAAGAAGAACGTCTTTTACATGATAATCAGCATGGCTGAAATATACAAAATTAATTCAACAACATACCCTTTGCATTAGCATGCGTGTGTACTTGAAGTGTATGTACGTTCTTGCTGAGCACGTGAGCTGGGAGAGCGTATCTGGCTTGATGTAATTGTTGGCAAACTCCCAGCATGCATCGCGAAGTTCCGGGAAGTCATAAGTGTGGGCGGCGTTCATCAGACCTGAATTGAAAACAGCCAAACGATATTGATATCTGATTTCATTATAACTGATTTTTTCGTAAAAGAAACATACGTTTTACTCCTCCTCAGTGTTTCAAACAAGTGCCGTTTTTTAAATAGCGTTCAAAACATTTTAATAAGCAAGTATCACATTGCTTTCGTATCGTTACTTCAGAAAAATATTATACAGCATGCCATATAAGGCCGAAATCTGAACTCAAACCCGACACGAAAAGTCAACAACAAGAACCGAGGGGAGCCCAAAACGAAACAAAAAAGACATAAGGAAATGATTCATATAGCACTCTTGTTTTTTGTTTCCTGGTGACTTGATTGGCAATACCTCATTTTTAGCCTTAGTGTTGAAAGCGTTTGCCTAAGTAGGGAAGCTAATGGGTTTTGTATCCACGGCGGGACATACCAAAGTCATTAAAAACTAGATGTAATTCTCTGCTTAAAGTTCAGCATTTATGGTTCGACATGGTGTTTCAGTGAGGTAGCGAACATCAGATCCGTGCTATCTCAAGGAGGGCAAGGAGACACTGTCTCGTGATAAGATCACTATTTAATAGTTATGAGATGTTCATATCGCTGTTATAACAAGTACATTTGTATAGGTACGTGTATTTAGATCGCTATCTCGTCGATAAGAAAACTATCGTAATTACAACAAAACAGTTTTAATTATAGTTATGAAATGTTGTCTTTAAGTAATGAAATGACAATCTCGTAGTTATAATTATGTTATCAAGTTGTTGTGTCGAAGTTACGACATGCCGATCGGTCTTGTAATTAACTATGAGATGTTATCTCGAAACTTCGAGATCGTTACCTGTAATTATGATAAGCTATCTAAAAAATATGAGAAATTAATCTCGAAAATGTGGAATAAAGATCTCGTAGTTTTGCGACAGAACCTCATACTTACGAGATATTAATAAATACCAGATGGCCTACTATATTAGTCTCCGTAGATGATCAACTTACCCACAACATTAGATATGTCCACAGCTACTGTTCCACAATGAATGTAACACATGAAACGTTCAAATACTGTGACGTCAAAATTTTTCACTTCCACTGTAAGTTTCTGTACTACGTCACTCTGATAGAAAGTCTTCACCTTTTCGGATGATGACGGGCTAAGAAGATGCTGAATTTTCTTAAGGGCTTTTTTCATGGCAGAGTTGTTCTTGAGGGATTTTTTCTTTGCATTTTTTGTTGCAGCTAATAAAAGTTGGTACATATGTCTGGAAAAGAAGAATACATATAATTAGCAATTATCATATCGGGACCAATTAGCAAGTGCGCTGTTTTATTTTCCATTGGTTGTTGAACGATTAAAGGGAGGCAACTTCTGCGAGCTTTAGTTCTTGACTGATTATTTCCCGTTATTCATAATTGTATTAAAACTTGATGCACTCACATCAATCTCAGATGTTTGTAAGGGCGACGTTTACCTGCTTCTTGTAGCAAGAATGGCTTTGACACCGTACACAGGCAGTTTCTCTTCCCCCACGAGGAACGTTACGTCACACAGGTCAGGAACAGATATGACGTATTTTAGGTCCTCACACAGACCCCTCGTGTCCTTGACAACCATCACATCCGGTTTTACTCGTTCTTTGTTCCAGAAGTCATCTAAATAAACAGATGATTGCATATTTAATATTTGGTTAAATACTACATCAGTTTGACATTTTTCTATTTTATACGAACATTCTATTTGTGTTCATGATATACCGAGAATAATTTTGATGAATCAAGGTGAATTCTTAACGCCGTTATTAATTAATGAAGAAACGTCCACTTTAAAATAAATAAATAAATAAATAAATAAATGGGTGTTAGTATTGAAAGCACAGTTTTATATCTTATTTCGTTATGATGACTTTACATAGATTTCCCACTATCATTCAATTGTCATTTTTATAAAAGACATATTTATCATCCTCTTTTCATTTTCATGTACAAATGTCTTGAATGTTAAATAAGCAAAAAATACCATACCTTCACAAGCGCCGGATTTTCTCGACATCGCCATATTTTTTGCCTTTGATTCTATTAAAACTTTAATCAGCAGAGACAATGTTGATGGTATACAGTGTCTCCATCACACCTTATATATATGCCTCATAACCGAGTGATACCGAGTATTCCTCCCCCGATCGAAACGGTGTACAAGTACTTGTCTAAAACAACAGGAGCGCGTGCTTGACCACGAGCGTTTAGGTAATGGCCACTGTGGTCAGTGTGTGTCCAATTAAATATGTGTCAGGTAAAAATGACAAGTGAAATTGTCAACACATCGAGCAAATCAAACCTAATCTATAAACCGTTAAAACAGATATCAAAACAAACCTTACCTAACAGCGGTCAACACGGCGGGGTGGACAATGGCTGGCTTGTATTACAGTATCTACTCCAAATACAATGCCTAGACTGATTGGGATTTCTATACTAACCATATTATATTATTATTGTCCCGTTTTCTACTGTTAAGTCAATATTTGTAGTGTTTAGCGTCATAGCACCGTTTAGTTTAGGAGGAATCAGTGAGGCCGTACATGTTGAACAATCATGTCACAGTCGTTACCCTTTATCTGATCTGTAGATCGGGGGAACATTAATGGGATTGGGACCCAGATCGACGTGACAGGTAAATAATTCCAATCACCTTGGTTATCCTATATAGCATTATATATGGTCACTTCTTATTTTCTTTTATCGTAAGTAGGATATAGATTTATTCTAATTAATATAGTTACTGATATGTACGGTATCGACAATCCTATTAAATCAGAGACCTTTGGTTATATGATTATAGATTATAAAATTGGTGATTAAGTCACTGATAGCGACATTTCATTAACATGTAATTACATGATATTACTTGTCTGATCGATATAAAGTATAAAATCATACAGTACTGGACATTGCCATATTCATAAAAATCTAGATAACACTTTAAGATTCAATCCTATATATCGTGGTGGTGAAGAGTTTGGAATTCCTGTGCCAAACATTTCTTTTAAACTATGGCCTCTTTGAGGGTCTTGACAATGTAATTTCCCCATAATTGACAACCCAAGGCCCGCTAGACACTTTTTATTTGCTTGATGTAGATGTAGCAGGGTAGTGCCGAATTGAGCGAGTCCGAGATTTTTTATCTGACGTTACGACACTTTTCCCTCTACGCTGAGCTGAGCGAGGACACAATTTATTCTTATTTTGTAAAATAAATATATACATGTACTAATTGTCTATAAACATATGTTCCTATAGGGAACGCAATAATATTAATGAACTTGTAAGTCACTCTTTTCCAAGCTTTCGGGCTTAGCCCTTCGTCAGGGATTCAATGTCACTGGACCTCTATGTCACATCCATCTTGACAATGTTAAAATGTTAAAACTGTTGATTAAGTCACTGATAGCGACATTTCATTAACATGAAAAATGTCCACCTTGACAATGTTAAAATGTTAAAACTGTTAATAAGTACATGTACTTATAAACACGTAGAAAAATAGTTTTCTATCTGATAATTACCATTTAAGGTCTTGCTCCCACGCCCCTCCCCCTACACTCACACATTCTACTACTTCATGGTCAGAGTTAATTTTTAATGTACATTGTATGCATCAGTATAATCAATAACATTTAAAACTCCGCCAGTAGCACCAGCAACTTCATGTCAAATAAAACAAATGTTTGGGGAAAAAGCGTGCGCCCTTTTCACCGCTGAACGGTGCAGTATGTGACATCCTCGGAAGGTATCGTTTTAGAGGATGTAGCACTGTAATGATCTTATGCAAATTTTCTCGTGCACGATCTTTAACGCAAACTGAAGCAATATACACATAAGATAAATAACAGACTTTCTGTTAATAAGTCAATGCGTCTCAATGAGGACTTTAAAACTCTCTGATGGACAAGAGTACCAGACTTCAACATTTGCTATTTTCGGTCATTATGCATTCCCGTTTTTACGGCACCAAATACAATGAATGCAACTTTGCACTGCGTTTGTATGTTTATCATATTAGACGCCAAATTAGAAATACCCGGAATATGGCAATTCGGATTTTTTTTTATATAGAAATTGTTAATTTTCAGAGCCAAATCGATCGAGAAAGTGCAAATGCATGTACCTGTTAAAATGTACGCTCACATCTGAAGAAACTGGTAGAGAGTAATATTTCCAACAAAATTAACAAAACCGAGATTGAGCAACAGAAGTGAGATTGATAGGTATTGTACATATGGTGTAAAATTCGAAAGTCATAAACTTGACTGATTGAAGTTAAGCACCGTTTCCATACTAAAACAAGAATCTGTTTCATATAAGATATTTCACCATTGAGATCATGTTGATCATAATATTTACTCATATTGATATCAAACGGTGTCTTTAGAAAAGCTGTTCGTGTTTTTATCGGCAAAACCTTGTATAGCGAGTACACTTTCAAAGGTAAACATTGTTAGTGGGAGAAAAATTGTCCTCACAAGCTTGTCAATAAATTCAGCCTCGCCAGGAAAAAACCCCAACAACAAACAATCAAGTTGGCCACGAGAGCGACATGATTTGTTCCCATAGGAATGAACAGGGCAGAGAAAAAGGGGGAGGGACGAGAGTGGGAGGGGGATGGACGAAAGTGGGAGGGAGGGACGAGAGTCGGAGGGGGAGGAACGAGAGTGGGAGGGGAGTTTCTTTAAGGGTCCAATTTGAGTGGAACTCTTCTTTGTGCGATTGTATCGGTGATGTGGTACTCTGCCGGGTAGCAGTGTACAGTATAGCGTACGATGGCTATCAAAATCAGCACTAAAATTAGCATATAAATGATGAAGTGGACTATGTGGGCTTCATAATTTTCAAAACAAAATCGAAATTGGTTTGAGACTACAGTTTTGGGCAAAAGCTAGCTTTTCATGTAGTCTATTTTTGTACTCAGCACATGCGTAAATATTGTGAAAAATCCACCGGAAAGACCTATGCTAAAACGTGAGCATTTCTGTTACCGTGATATTTAATTTCAGACAGATTTTAAGAAAAAAATCTACTTGCGGGGGTCAGATTTTGGGTTAAAAATCATGATTTTTTGCATATTTTGGTGGGTTTTTTATGTGGTAACCATGGTTTTCAAACAGTAATACCAAAAAATACCTTTAATATGCTTAACAATTCTATTTATAAAGTTTACATGGATGATCGAATCGAAACTTAGTATAGAAATTCGTATATAAGTGCATTATATTCATTTAACAGTATATCTTCTAACGTCTCTGACTTTAAAAGTTTTTGTTTGACAACGCTTACAATCGGGAACCGTCGGCACTTTCCGCTAGCGAGAAAATACTATAAAAGTATTTTCTCGTTTACGGAAAGTGCCGACGGTTCCCGATTGACAACGCTCATTGTCGGCAAATGCCGCATTTTAGTAGAACCCCATTTTTAAAATCGCCCAATCATATTCGAGAAATTTATTCACTGCAGTGATGCAAGATGTCTGCGCCCATGGCGATAGGATGCCGAAAATATCGCAGACTCTTTTCGAAGCAGAATTTGTACAAATACCGTCATCTTCTGAGATACTTATCAAGTAAATTGTTACATACTTATTAACAAATTAGAATTTACAAATCATATAACATATTGCATGGCTGTTCAGTGTCGGTTCGTTTACAATAATAGCTGTCAATGTTTCTGATGCAAGGTTGACTTATTTGGCAAAAAAGAAAACGTCAACACCAACATTCCCTACGCTATTTTGCACATATTTGATCGACATAGACATTTTGCAATATGTAGGTTTTGACAAATTTGTTAATGACACGGTTTCGAATTGGCTTGGCAATGATTCCCCTCTCGATCATCATCCTCAGATCCGTTTGATTATATGTATCTATATCCATCTTTATAATGACGTGAGAAAATTCCTCTATAGGTCAAGAGGGTGCACTGAACTCTAACCCATTCACAAAGTCAGAAAATAAAAAATAAATCTCAACTCGCACACTTTGTGTTTTATGATATGATCATACAGTTAGTTCTTAAAGGAGCCATGGAAAATGACACATTTCCATTCACTGACTGAGGTCTGACCTTATAGTAATGTCTTTGGAAACAAATGATTAAAATGTAATAGCCAACGATCAACCCATTCTACAACATACTGTAGTTCCCCCATCCTTTTTTCTAAGTCTTTGCTCCCGAAGACACCACTATTTATAACGCAGGTTCAAATTTCTCCTTGTGCATGGTTGGAGTCATGTAGGTGATAAACCTGTCAACCAACCAACCAATTTCCCCTTGCCAAGTGTACATTTAATGCCTGAAACAAGGGTTGGCCACTGGCACCACTGTAATGGGAGAGGGAAAATGCATGGCCAGACTGGGGTTAGAACCAGAGTGTGTCCCTCAGATCTAGAACTCTTAACTTGTTTGAATCATTTTATTTCAGAATCAAGTAAGAAGTTTGAGTATGACCTTGTAGTGATCGGGGGCGGTTCCGGAGGACTGGCATGTTCAAAAGAAGGTAAAATTACAATGTAAATCTATTAGTAATACAAGCCTATCATGACCAACCCATTTTACAAGTTTTTGTGAGGGGAAATAGTGTTTTCCTGAACTGCCTTTATTAGGGGAAAAAGAGGAAATAGAGTATTAGGCAGATCTGCATTGGTCACCAATAACCAGGTAGTTCTGTTGCTTCAAGTTTTTGTGTAGAGTTCAAAATCCAGGGTCAATGAACTGAGTGAGTCTGAACTATTCTACTTTCACGAAATGTTCGAAAATGCATGATCATAAAGAAACCGAGCTTATTATTTCATTAACTTGTTGCATCAGCTATACACTTCATTTATTACCTTGTGTATTTGGACCAGCAAGAAGAAAGAAAATTGTTAAGCACAGATGTAATTTAAGTAAAACATAATAACAGGCACTTGAATTTAGAGAGTTCAGTAGGTTATTTTATCAAAAGATAAAAACCTGTCAGACTGAATATTGTAGCATAATAGAGTAAAGTCTTGTTTTAACTTGATATTTTTTCTTGACTTATATTTTGTAGCTGCACAATTAGGAAAAAGAGTTGCTGTCCTTGATTATGTAAATCCATCATCACAGGGTTAGTAACATCAATGTTAAAAAGCTAACTTTCTCACTGAGTATTCTACTGTACACTGTTAACATAGAGCATCTCAAGTTACCATTACATGTGTAACTGATATACCATCTTCAATGAGTTTCATCAATTTAGATGCAATGGGAACAGGTTTGATTTTTTTTACTGATATATGCAACCAAAAGAAAGACTAAAAAATGTAGAAACTGTGAACTATCAAATTTTCAGCAATTTTTTATCTATATAAAAAATTGTGGTGATATTCTATGTAAAATTAAAAAGAAACAGGAAAATATGAAGAGTGGTCTGGTGAATATTAGTTTCTAGGCACCCAGGCCTTTCAGGATTATTCCTGAATTCTTAAGACAGGAAAAACCCAAAGATATAAGGAAACACAATCGAATTGCTTGTGTCATGAATTTGTGGCTTTATTATTTTTTGCTTTGTGAAAAATAAATAAATTTTATAAGTTAAAACCACTAAAATTGCAGTCATAACAAATTTATTTCCTTCGTATATTATATTTCTGTACATTACATTAAGGTAGATTTTTCTAAGTGCCTCCTCTAATATCTGAACCGATGACTGCAGATTACTAAATGTGGTCCATTGCTCTGCACTAAAAGTTGCCATTCAAATGGTCTACACTACAATCACTATTCCTGTGTTCTGCTATACAGATTTCTAGATTTTTCTCAAAATTGATAGATTTATGTATTTCTATATAAATATTGATACATGTCCTTATTCATTTAATTACATTCTATTTTATATGTCATTGGTTAAAGGGCAGTTGTCTCTGTTGTAACTGGTCATTCGTATTATGATCTAGATAAAAATCCACATTGTTCTGGTAAATATGAGCAAAGTTTTTGTTTATGTTCATGTTTGAATTATATTCTGTTGATGTGTTTTACTCATTCACCCCTGAAATTTCATAATGAACTATTCCAACCTTTGAAATGGAAGAGTTCAAAAGTTTCTTCAGGGGTGAATATTTTAATTCTAATGTATTCGTTGACAGCATTCAAGCCTGAGTTGGTCACCAAACATATATACATTGGCTGTGTTAAACCATAGCTTTGTTATAAACAGATACAATATCTATGTTCTATCTTAATTGTACATGTATTAGTTACAACATTTCGTAGTATGCAAAGTGAATATTTATTTTATTATGTCATGTTCAAAATGCTTATGAAAACAAGCAACCTGGTATATTCCGGTCTCTTATTTGTTGAACTCTATACTGGACAATTACTGGTATAATTGTTTATGTAAAACAAATATTTGTATGCCCTCACAACAATGAACACGGTGAATGTGTAATTATTTATCAATGAACCTACAGCATCTCACTTACACCAGTGTATCTGTACTCTAATGCATGTAGTCCAACTGTCATCCAACTATATCAGGATACACCCTGATGTGAACTACATTGTACACCATCAAATGTATGTCAGACTTGTTTTCGTTCTATTCTTTGGTGTTTAACTCCATTTTCATCAGAGCAGGATTATGTTTCTGTTTTTTACTGTTTTTTTCTTCAGTTTTGATAACAATATAATTACTGTATGATAACATCTCTTTCATAGATATTCAAAAAAATGTATAAATATCTGTTAGAGTGTAATGTTTCAGAAGGAGGGTTTCATCTCTGTCATATCCTATAAAGTAGACATCTTATTTTGTAAAAACGTCCCTTCGTCACATTTCTCAAATAACTATATGCTTCATGTTCTTCATATATCCAATAGAATTACATGTATTCACATATCTGTCAAGGAAACTGTCAAATTATTTTAAAATATTTCCTGCAACAAAACATTAATTGGCCATTATTCACTATTAAATTTCAAGGTTGATATTATAGATATTTATTCAAATATCTGCACTGCTCACTCACATTTTTCTTCATAATTTTTCAAGTAAAATTTAAATATAGTTCGTAAGAATATATGCGATGTCTAATATGTGTAGTACTGTGATTTTTATGTAGGTACCAAATGGGGCCTCGGTGGCACCTGTGTCAATGTTGGATGTATTCCTAAAAAGCTGATGCACCAGGCGGCACTTCTTGGGCACGCTATAGAAGACAGCAGGTTGTACGGCTGGGACGTCCCACACTCTGTCACCAACGACTGGTAAATATCTATATCTCCACTACAACTTTCTTGACTGTTTGACTGCCGATCAACAATTGTTTTTCATGTTTAAATGTTTCCGTGTGATATAAATAATGAAATGAGGTCAGTTTAGACACTTTAGTAGCTATATTGTAATACCAGCTGGGCTTTCTACTATAGTCATATTAATTTTGACATCAAACCGTAACAGCACTTCATGTTATTTTGTATCAGAAAATGTATAGGAAATTTATTTTTTGATGACTACTTATTTTTTAACAGGGAAAAGATGTGTGGAGCGGTACAGAGTTATGTGAAGTCATTGAACTGGGGTCACAGGGTGCAGTTACAAGACAAGTATGTTTTATGAAGTTGTAATATCAGTTGTTGTATCTCATAGGTCAAATGTGAAGGACAGGTTAACGGTCAAGAAAGCTTATCTGTATTAAATCAATGTAAACACAAAATGAAGAGCACACTTCAAGGGTAATATATAGGCCCAGTCTTTACGTTTTGTCTTAGTTCGAGTAGAATTTGATTCCTTATACAATACATCATTACCTTGTGAGTGTTTAAAAGAAAGGTTAACTGTAAAGATTATGTCCTCAGTTTTAATAGTTGTTCAACATCTGATGACGATGACATTTCTGTCTTAATTTGTTTGATTTTTTCTTTGTTTAGGAATGTTGAATACTTGAACTCCCTTGGCTCCTTTTCTGACCAACACACCATACGAGCTGTAGATTCCAAAGGTCAAGAGGTACATTTTTGATGCAATTAACCTTGATCAAGAATTTTGAAATGTATTTAATGTGGGTTTCCCTAAACTGGACCTCTGATATCACTGTTCCATCTTAAATTCATTTGGAAAAAAAAAAATCACTAGTACCAAAGTGGTTAAAACTATAATATGTTGTACAGTGTCTTCCAAACAAAGCAAATAATTGTCATGGCTGGGTTTGTTATCTATGAAAATTGGACCGTATTGAGTATATCCACATTACCTTCAAGTTGGTGTCTGTGTGATCCACACTAGGATAGCATAAGATGATACTGTAATTTAGTGTAAACACAGAATTGCAATTTTAGTTGTTCATATGATGGGTTCTCTTGCATATCAATTTAATATTGAATGTCAATTATTTACTGTCCAACAGTTTGTCTATGGAAAGAAGTCTGTCCAATTTACTGCAGCGTACATATCTTCTCAACTGATTTTTAGCTCACCTGGCACGAAGTGCCAAGTGAGCTTATGACGTGGCGCGGCGTCTGTCGTCCGTCCGTCCGGCGTCCGTCCGTCCGTCCGGCGTCCGGCGTCAATATTTTACTTTAAACGACTTCTTCTTAATAACCGAAAGGCCTAGGGTGTCAATATTTGGCCAGAAGCAAACTTGGATGAAGGGCTACAAAGTTTGTTCAAATAAATGACCTTCAGTTATTTTCAAGGTCACAGGGGTCAAATATGTCAAAAACTTTAAACATCCTCTTCTCAATAACCAAGATGCCCAGGGAGATGATATTTGGCCAGTAGCATGCTTCGGTGAAGGGCTACCAAATTTGTTCAAATGAATGACCTTCAATTATATTCAAGGTCACAGGGGTCAATTGTATTAAAAAAACCTTTAAACAACTTCTTCTGAATAACCAAAAAGCTCAGGGTGATGATATTTAGCCAGTAGCATGCTGAGATTAAGTGCTACAAAGTTTGTTCAAATGAATGACCTTCACCCATATTCAAGGTCACAGGGGTCAAATATGTCAAAAACTTTAAACAGCTTCTTCTCAATAACCAAGATGCCCAGGGAGATGATATTTAGCCAGTAGCATGATGAGATGAAGTGCTACAAAGTTTGTTCAAATGAATGACCTTCACCCATATTCAAGGTCACAGGGGTCAAATATGTCAAAAACTTTAAACAGCTTCTTCTCAATAACCAAGATGCCCAGGGAGATGATATTTAGCCAGTAGCATGCTGAGATTAAGTGCTACAAAGTTTGTTCAAATAAATGCCCTTCACCCATATTCAAGGTCACAGGGGTCAAATATGTTTAAAAAATTTCAACAACTTATGAATAACCAAAATGCCCAGGGTAATGATATGTGGCCAATAGCATGCTGAGATAAATGACCTTCACCGATATTCAAGGTCACAGGGGTCAATTGTATTAAAAAAACCTTTAAACAACTTCTTCTGAATAACCAAAAAGCTCAGGGTGATGATATTTAGCCAGTAGCATGATGAGATGAAGTGCTACAAAGTTTGTTCAAATGAAAGACCTTCACCCATATTCAAGGTCACAGGGGTCAATTGTATTAAAAAAACCTTTAAACAACTTCTTCTGAATAACCAAAAAGCTCAGGGTGATGATATTTAGCCAGTAGCATGATGAGATGAAGTGCTACAAAGTTTGTTCAAATAAATGACCTTCAGTTATTTTCAAGGACACAGGGGTCAAATATGTCAAAAACTTTAAACAGCTTCTTCTCAATAACCAAGATGCCCAGGGAGATGATATTTGGTCAGTAGCATGCTTGGGTGAAGGGCTACCAAATTTGTTCAAATGAATGACCTTCAATTATATTCAAGGTCACAGGGGTCAAATATGTTTAACACGTTCAAAAACTTCTTCTGAATAACCAAAATGCCCAGGGGAATGATATTTGGCCAGTAGCATGCTTTGGTGAAGGGCTACCAAATTTGTTCAAATGAATGACCTTCACCCATATTCAAGGTCACAGGGGTCAATTGTATTAAAAAAACCTTTAAACAACTTCTTCTGAATAACCAAAAAGCTCAGGGTGATGATATTTAGCCAGTAGCATGATGAGATGAAGTGCTACAAAGTTTGTTCAAATGAATGACCTTCAATTATATTCAAGGTCACAGGGGTCAATTGTATTAAAAAAACCTTTAAACAACTTCTTCTGAATAACCAAAATGCCCAGGGTAATGATATTTGGCCAGAAGCATGCTGAGATAAAGGGCTACAAAGTTTGTTAAAATTAATGACTTTCACCTATTTTCAAGGTCACAGGGGTCAAATATGTTAAAAACTTTAAACAACTTCTTCTCAATAACCAAATGGCCCAGGGCACTGATATTTGGCCTGTAGCATGCTGGGATGAAGGATTACCATGTTAGTTCAAATGAATGACTTTGATCCACTTTCAACCTAATGTCCTTGTTCGACAATCAAGGTCAGAGGCGTCCTATGTTTAAATCTTTTAATAGGTTCTTATGAAATCTTAAGATTACAAGTGTTAGATTAATAACAGGTGAACGATGAAGGCCCATTGGGCCTCTTGTTATGAATTTTAGTTTGTTTCCAGCGGTTATTAATCTAACACTTGTAATCTTAAGATTACAAGTGTTAGATTAATAACAGGTGAACGATGCAGGCCCATTGGGCCTCTTGTTATGAATTTTAGTTTGTTTCCAGCGGTTCATTTTTGGTTTTGAATAATTTCCTTCTCCTATTTCTGTACAAAATTATATCAATTCTATCAGGAGTACTCATACTTGCTTTCTTAAGTGAATTGAAACTTGGTTCCATTACCTTTATATAAACAGTTGTGCATTAATCTGGAGTTATTTTATATTTTCCATATGTTGTCTGTGGATCACCGCTCAATAATAGAATTTTTTCATTAAAACATCAAATGAACTCTCACACTTTCCTAGAACCAAGTAATATAATCTGAACTCAACTATTTTACAGTAAGAGGACAGACACTGGTCAGGGATTTATCTTGTTGTCTTTTTTGTTAAATTCATAACCAACTCTGTGAAAGATTTACTGGTAAAAGGATGAAATATATGTTTCCAATTACAATGCATAATCACATTTTTTTGAAAATGAAAAATAAATTTTGATATAACAGCAATTTGTACATAGAATACCATGGAATGAATATTGACAAAAATATATCACTGGTATGTTAAATGTTTGCACAGAGATTCCTTACTACAGAGCATGCTGTCATAGCTGTAGGTGGGAGACCTACCTTACCTACACAGGTAAGTCACTTAGATCTACCCTACCTACACAGGTAAGTCACTCATACCAACCTACACAGGTAAGTCACTCAGATCTACCCTACCTACACAGGTAAGTCACTCATACCTTACTACACAGGTAAGTCATGCCGATCTACTCTACCTACACAGGTAAGTCACTCAGATCTACCCTACCTACACAGGTAAGTCACTCATACCAACCTACACAGGTAAGTTACTCATACCTACCTACACAGGTAAGTCACTCATACCTACCTACACAGGTAAGTCACGCAAATCTACCTATACAGGTAAGTTACTCATACCTACCTACACAGGTAAGTTACTCATACCTACCTACACAGGTAAGTCACTCAAACCAACCTATACAGGTAAGTTACTCATACCTACCTACACAGGTAAGTTACTCATACCTACCTACACAGGTAAGTCACTCGATTCTACCCTACCTGCACAGGTAAGTCACGCAGATCTACTCTACCTACACAGGTAAGTCACTCATACCTACCTACACAGGTAAATCACTCATACCTACCTACACAGGCAAGTCACTCAGATCTACCCTACCTACCCAGGTAAGGCACTCAGATCTACCTTACCTACACAGGCAAGTCACTCAGTTCTACCTTACCTACACAGGTGAGTCACTCAGATCATCCCTACCCACACAGGTAAGTCACTCAATTCTACCCTACCTGCACAGGTAAGTCACACAGATCTACTCTACCTACACAGGTAAGTCACTTAGATCTACCCTACCTACACAGGTAAGTTAATCAGATCTACCCTACCTACACAGGTAAGTCACTCAGTTCTACCCTACCTGCACAGGTAAGTCACTCATATCTACCCTACCTACACAGGTAAGTCACTCAGATCATCCCTACCTACACAGGTAAGTCACTCAGTTCTACCTTACCTACACAGGTAAGTCACTCAGTTCTACCCTACCTACACAGGTAAGTCACTCAGATCATCCCTACCTACCCAGGTAAGTCACTCAGATCTACCTTACCTACCTAGGTAAGTCACTCAGACCTACCTTACCTACCCAGGTAAGTCACTCAGATCTACCCTACCTACACATGTAAGTCACTCAGACCTACCTTACCTATGCAGGTGAGTCAGCGACTCACTTATACCTACGTTATCTACAAAGGTAAGCCACTCATACCTGCTTTACCTACACATGTAAGTCACTCAGACCTACCTACACAGATAAGTCACTCAGAGTTACCTTACCTAGACAGATGAGTCACTCGGACTTACCTTACCTATGCAGGTAAGTCACTCAGACCTACATTACCTACACTTACCCTCACAAGTAAGTCACTCAGACCTGCTTTAAATATGCAGATACATTTGTAAGTTATTCAGACCTGCCCTACCTACACAAGTAAGTCACTCAGACCTACCCTACATTCACTGTTGGATCAATTGAAAAATGATTTTTTTATATTTCATCTAATAACAAAATTGTCTTGTTTCTACTGTATGTAATATTTTTTTTACTAATAATTGATTATACAGATTTTTTTGTGACATCATTTAACCTGATTCATGTTTATATTTATATAATACAAGTATTCATATTGTTTGTGTTGTTGCAAGGGAAATAACTCTGTTAGGTTTCCTGAATGGACTTTCATAATAACATATTTTCTAATTAGCTTTAAACTGCTTTTTTGTCGATCTTTGGAACAGATCCCGGGTATGGTGGACCGTGCCATTACAAGTGATGATATATTTTGGATGAAAAAGCCTCCAGGAAAAACGTAATTTCATATTTTTATTCTTTGTAATAACTCTGTTTGTAGTTACTAAATAGATAAGTGGTGTTTGTCATGCTTAAATGTTAATTTGACAATTAAGGCAGATTGTAATGAATAGCACTTATTTAATGAATGGCAAATGCAGATATGTGGGTGGTTGGTTGGTGATGGGTTTCAACACGTACCAATAACTCGGTAAAGATATTATTTTGATAGGCATTAATTAAAAGTGGTATAGGGGTTTAACCCATTAAAAGCCTCAGAAGAATTCAATACCAAAAGAATTCTGTCAGTTTTAAAGGGATACTTGCTCCTCTGTTACCACTCATCATGCTTAGAACTGTAATGGATTTTCAACCTATCACTACAGATATCTTCACATGGCTTGTGTATTCTACCCTTCTTGTTTAAATTAAATTGATGTTTTACAAAACTGAACTCTTTCGTTTAGTTTTCCTGTGCAAGTTTGTTTTTACATCACCAGTTCCCTTGTGTATTTGTTAATTCAATTTCAAATACATTATTAATATAACTATTTAAAAAAGATCATGATAATACTTGTCAAAAATTTGAGAAACTTGTCTTTGCAATCAATCTCATCGACATTTATATTTCAGGTTAGTAGTGGGTGGAAGTTGTATCCTTTTTATATCTCATCTGAACAAGAGGGGTTATACCATGGTACAGCATCAATCATCCATCTGTCATCTTTTCATTTATAAAACTACAAGTGAATGCCCGAGACTATTGCCTGACCGATTTTTTACAAAATGTGGTACTAAGCATCCCTGGGCCATGTGTGACCCTTATGACAATAGAGGAGCAGGACCCAAAAGGGAAAATAGAGGTTAATCTGGAAGGGTTGACTCCTTCAGTGTGATGAAGGAATTTGCAAGATGGGTTCCCAGAGGACTCGGGGCAGAGGCGTACTAGAGGTACATGCAATAGTAGAAATAGGATATTAAGGTATAATATGGTAAGAAGAGGAAATATCTTAAAATCTTTCATTACAAAGTTTATGTCTGATCTCAGCATTACTACCTGGCTCTTTTTTGATATGCATACTGTATGTAACATGATGTAACAAATACCAGGTTAGTTATTCTGGCTCCCGGTACTTTTTTATCTGAAGAAGGATTTTGTGTACCTCCATTGGTTAAGTGCAGGTTTCAAAAGCAAAACCAGAGAATAACAATGTTTAAGAGAACAAAACTACAATCATAAAACTAATGTTACAAGATACTGTAGTAAAATATCATCATTTTTCTGTAATCTGGTATTAAAATGTAATTGTCAAATTGTTGTGTGATTTATTTAAAGATGCAGAATTTGTTTGTTGTTTTTTTGGAAACTACATTGTCTTAATTAACAAAAATGATTCCAGTATGTTGTGTTGGCCTTAACAACAGACAGACATTGCACTGGAGTCGGCGGGGTTCCTCACAGGTCTGGGATTTGATACCACTGTCATGGTTAGATCTATATGTCTCCGGGCATTTGATCAGGTAGGCAGCCATTGTTGAATCTGATTCACTGTTTTAGATTTCATGATGACCATATTATATAAATAAAATAGTACTTCCGGTAGAAATTTGCCAGAATATTAGAAACCCCTATTGCACACAATATCAAATGGTGTATAATAGTATATGAAATAATATTTTATTAACCTGTGTATTTAAAATCTGCTTTGTCCTATATTTTGCAGCAAATGGCAAGTTTTGTAACAGATTATATGGAAAACAATGGAACAAGGTTTCTAAGGCAATGTTTACCTTTGGGAGTTGTAAAGAATGGAGAAGGAAAATTGGAAGTAAGCTATCAGGATGGAAATGGTAACAAAGATTTGGAGACATTTGATACCGTCCTTATGGCTATAGGTAGGTAACAAACAGCTGGGGACATTTGATACTGTCCCTATGGCTATAGGTAGGTAACAAAGATCTGGGGACACTTAATACCGTCCTTATGGCTATAGGTGGTTAACAAAGATCTGGAGACATTTGATACTGTCCTTATGGCTATAGGTGGGTAACAAACAGCTGGAGACATTTGATACTATCCTTATGGCTATAGGTAGGTAACAAAGATCTGGGGACACTAAATACCGTCCTTATGGCTATAGGTGGTTAACAAAGATCTGGAGACATTTGATACTGTCCTTATGGCTATAGATGGGTAAAATAGATCTGGAGACATTTGATACTGTCCTTATGGCTGTAGGTGGGTATCAATGAGCTGGAGACATTTGATACCGTCCTTATGGCTATAGGTAGGTAACAAACATCTGGAGACATTTGATACTGTCCTTATGGCTGTAGGTGGGTATCAATGAGCTGGAGACATTTGATACCGTCCTTATGGCTATAGGTAGGGAACAAAGATCTGGGGACACTTAATACCGTCCTTCTGGCTATAGGTAGGTAACAAAGAGGGGGAGACATTTGATACCGTCCTTATGGTTATAGGTAGGTTACAAAGATCTGGAGACATTTGATACCGTCCTATAGGTGGTTAACAAAGATCTGGAGACATTTGATACTGCCCTTATGGCTATAGGTGGGTAACAAACAGCTGGAGACATTTGATACTATCCTTATGGCTATAGGGAGGTAACAAAGATCTGGGGACACTTAATACCGTCCTTATGGCTATAGGTAGGTAACAAACATATGGAGACATTTGATACTGTCCTTATGGCTATAGATGGGTAACATAGATCTGGAGACATTTGATACTGTCCTTATGGCTATAGATGGGTAACATAGATCTGGAGACATTTGATACTGTCATTATGGCTATAGGTGGGTATCAATGAGCTGGGGACATTTGATACCGTCCTTATGGCTATAGGTAGGTAACAAAGATCTGGAGACATTTGATACCGTCCTTATGGCTATAGGTAGGTAACAAACATCTGGAGACATTTGATACTGTCCTTATGGCTATAGATGGGTAACATAGATCTGGAGACATTTGATACTGTCCTTATGGCTATAGGTGGGTATCAATGAGCTGGAGACATTTGATACCGTCCTTATGGCTATAGGTAGGTAACAAACAGCTGGGGACACTTAATACACTCCTTATGGCTATAGGTAGGTAACAAAGATTTGGGGACACTTAATACCGTCCTTATGGCTATAGGCAGGTAACAAAGATCTGGAGACATTTGATACTGCCCTTATGGCTATAGGTGGTTAACAAAGATCTGGAGACATTTGATACTGCCCTTATGGCTATAGGTGGTTAACAAAGATCTGGAGACCTTTGATAATTTCCTTATGGCTATAGGTAGATAACAAAGATCTGGAGACATTTGATACTGCCCTTATGGCTATAGGTGGTTAACAAAGATCTGGAGACATTTGATAATTTCCTTATAGCTATAGGAAGGGAACAAAGAGGGGGAGACATTTGATGCTGTCCTTATAGTTATAGGTAGGTTACAAAGATCTGGAGACAGTTGATAATTTCCTTATGGCTATAGGTAGGCAACAAAGATCTGGAGACATTTGATACTGTCCTTATGGCTCTAGGTAGGTAACAAAGATCTGGGGACACTTGATACTGTCCTTATGGCTATAGGTAGGGAACAAAGATCTGGAGACATTTGATACTGTGCTTATGGCTATAGGTAGGTTACAAAGATCTGGAGACAGTTGATAATTTCCTTATGGCTATAGGTAGGGAACAAAGATCTGGAGACATTTGATACTGTCCTTATGGCTCTAGGTAGGTTACAAAGATCTGGAGACCTTTGATAATTTCCTTATGGCTATAGGTAGATAACAAAGATCTGGAGACATTTGATACTGTCCTTATGTGTATAGGTAGGTTACAAAGATCTGGAGACATTTGATAATTTCCTTATGGCTATAGGTAGGGAACAAAGAGGGGGAGACATTTGATGCTGTCCTTATGGTTATAGGTAGGTTACAAAGATCTGGAGACATTTGATACCGTCCTTATGGCTATAGGTAGGTAACAAACAGCTGGAGACATTTGATACTGTCCTTATGGCTATAGGTGAGTAACATAGATCTGGAGACATTTGATACTGTCCTTATGGCTATAGGTGGGTATCAACGAGCTGGAGACATTTGATACTGTCCTTATGGCTATAGGTGGGTAGCAACGAGCTGGAGCCATTTGATACTGTCCTTATGGCTTTAGGTAGGTAACAAAGATCTGGAGACATTTGATACTGTCCTTATGGCTGTAGGTGGGTAACAAACAGCTGGAGACATTTGATACTGTCCTTATGGCTATAAGTAGGTAACAAAGAGGTGGAGACATTTGATACTGTCCTTATGGCTATAGGTAGGTTACAAAGATCTGGAGACATTTGATACCGTCCTTATGGCTATAGGTAGGTAAAAAAGAGCTGGAGATATTTGCTACTGTCCTTATGGCAATAGGTGGGTAGCAACGACCTGGAGACATTTGATACTGTCCTTATGGCTATAGGTAGGTTATAAAGAGCTGGAGACATTTGATACAGTTTTTAGCTCACCTGCCCGAAGTGTAGTGAGCTTACGCTATGGTGGGGCGTCTGTTGTCCGTCCGTCCGTCGTCCGTCAATTTTTCCTTTGAAAGACTTCTTCTGAAGAATTGACAGGCATAGAGTCATGATATTTTGGTGATAGCTTTGTTGTTAGAGCCCAACAAAGTTTGAGAATGAAAATGACCCTAACCTCCTTTCAAGGTCACAGGGATCAAAAGTGTCAAATACTTGAAACGACTTCTTCTGTAGAACTGAAAGGTATATAATCTTAATATGTGACTGGTAGCTTCGTTGGTGAAATCCCAACAAAATTTGAGAACGAAAATGATCTTGACACACTTTCAAGGTCACAGGGGTCAAATATGTCAAACTTATCAAACATCTTCTTCTGAATAATCGAAATACATAGAATCATATTATTTGGCTGATTGCTTCTTGGGATTGAGACCGACATTGTTTGCAAATGAAAATGACCTCAGCCTATTTTCAAGGTCACAGGGTCCAAATATGCCAAACACTTCAAATTACTTCTTCAGAATAATCTAAAGCCATAGAACTATACTATTTGGATGGTAACTGTCAATGATGGAGCCCGACAAAGTTGGCTATTGAAAATTACCTCAACCTACTTTCAAGGTCACAGGGGTAAAATATAGCAAAAACTGCCAACAGCTTCTCTGAAGAAGTGAAAGGCATGGAGTTGTGATATTTGGCAGTTAGCTTCCTTAGATGGAGCCCAACAAAGTTTTCGAATGCAAATGACCTTTACCTACTTTATCCTATTGCTTTATCGTAATCTAGTTTGATATAGAGTATATTTGGTCCAACACGATTCAATGTTGTAAAAGCCATGCCCCCATCCCAATGGGGACAGGAGAATGGGACCCATTATGGTAAGGGTGTTGCTGAGACACAGAGACAATATTTGGAAATATTTGTAGTACAGTATAATTTCTATATAATATTTTGCTTTGACTGCTTTAATATCCAGGTGAGCGATACAGGCCCTCAGGGCCTCTTGTTTTGGTTATAGGTAGGTAACAAAGATCAGGAGACATTTGACACTGTCATTCTGGCTATAGTTTGGTAACAACAGAGAGTTGGATTCCGTCCATATGACTGTAGATAGGCAACAATGATCTGGAGAATTTGATACCGCCCTTATGACTGTAGATAGGTAACAATGATCTGGAGACATTTGATAGTGTCCTTTTATCTATAGGCAGGTTACCGTAAGCTGATGTTCGGGTTAATTTGCCATTGGTGTCATCACACTGTGGTGTATCTGTATGTATTATCCTTCATACGCAGGTTGTTTATGCTGTGGTGATGTCTTGAATTACAACTGACGTCACTGAGTCTAAGATCAAGATTGCTGTTTTGTAATATATAAATTAATCTAATGTCTGTGTGATTACTTCAGGTTTTTTTGTGCCCTTCTCAAAACCGAATTGTCACATATGATATATCAGATATAACTTACCACATGTATCAGGATAATATTGGTTTTAGCACTTCTTTACCACCATACAAAATTCCTACATATGATATGTATGTTTTAATTTGAATATTATGTCTGTTACTTATAATATGATAAGGCCAATACAAAAATATGTATGTTTCTAAAATGCATGTAACATGAGAGAAAACTATAGGGTAGAGTTTCGGAAGGATTTTTTTGTTTTTTTTCGTGAATCACTATTATACTTATATGAAATTTTGCAATGCATTCCACAATGGCATTAAGTTTTAAAGAATTGAATCAGACTCACAGAACAGATGGAACGTTTATTTACACGAGTGACTGAGCTTTGGCTAATAAAGTAATACTGGATACAAGTAGGTGATAACTTTTCTAGTGTCGGCAGGCGAATCTAAGGTAGGTAGGATTACCTGAAACAAACGCAATGTTCAGTCTAATGGGACACACTGTTGGTGACCTTTTCTAACCTTGAATTACAGGACGATACTCTGTAACAGACAAGCTTAACCTACCGGATATTGGTGTTAGCATGGATGATATCGGAAAGGTCATTGGAGGTCATGGTGGCGACTTAGAGCGAAGCTCTGTACCTCACATCTACGCCATCGGAGACGTTTTACATGTAAATAGTGATATTGTTTTACATGTAAATAGTTACGTTCTTTACCTATAAAACATACACTAACTGCAATGGATTCTCCCTAACATAATGTGCTGAACAATGTTTGCCTTTTAAAAATGGCTGGTTTTATTAGCTTAAACTTAAGTGTGTTTTCCTGAGTATCTACCCAAGTACATTGAAACCTGCTTACCCGACTGCACTGAGATAGTAATTATATGCTTCAATGCATTTAGATATGTTTTCATCTAAAACCCTGTCACTGCCAAGTGGTATCCCCGTCTAAAAATTTAATGTTACAATGTTACAAAGCATGCAAGTATCATATGTCCCCTTCTTAGTGTTTGTTAGAAAACGTATTCAAATTGTGATTTAAATGCATACGGTAATATAACGTAAGAGAACAGATTGTATTACAAGTGTAACGTCATTACCATGTTAAAAGTGGCGGAGTAGTTTTACTATCTTTTCTGTAAACATTTGATCTTTTTAGTTTAGTGTATAAATATCATAAAAATATATTTAGGATTTGAAATGTTACAAAATTTATCATACATTCTACCTATGCACTTACGTTAAGCTGTAGAGGATGAGGAAGGTGCTGGAAAGAATAGGAATGCTGTGTCCTACTGTGTGTTAACATAAGAGACCAATGTGGGATATCCTGCAGAATTGGAGATTTCTTTCTCTTCAATATCTGCTATTTCTTTTCTTTCCTTTTGGACATGTCTTCCTAGCCATCCTTCTTCTTACGACCTTAGATGTTGTAAGGACTTTAAACCCTTAACAAACAAAAATTTAAACTGTAGAAAAACATGTTCAATATAAATGTTTTCTTACGACCTTAGATGTTGTAAGGTCCTTAAACCCTTAACAAACAAAAAATTAAACTGTAGAAAAATGTGTTCAATACAAATGTTTTTACACAGAAAATATAGATGAAATAAGACATGTTTTCGGATGATTTTTTATTAGGGCATACTTCATGAAAACTTATACATTTATTTGAAATATGATTACTGTGACTGACGTATGTGTGCTGGTTACAGGAGAGACCTGAACTAACCCCAGTAGCTATCAAGGCGGGCAGGCTTTTAGCACGCCGCCTATTCGGTGGATCCCAGATACAGATGAATTATGATCAGGTAATAATACTAAATTATACTCTTACGGAGTTGAAATGTAAAATCTAATAAAGAGAATAGAAATATAGAAAGGGGATGTTTATTTGTTTTAGTAAATCATTGTTTCAACGTATTTAACTACCGTCTAATGAAAATTACTTTAAAATTAGACTTGCATAAATAATATTCAACAACAATCAATGATGTCAACACACACAAAACAAATACAAGCAAAATTAAAAGAGGAACTGACAAGACATCAAAGTAAAACGAAAGATGTTATGAATCCCCCCAGTAACTGAGTCTTAGGCCAGATCCTTGAGCTCTATTTATGATGAATCAGAAAGTGATGAAAAAGTTCAAAAATTAAAATTCTTTGTTTTTGTAGCTATTTGTAACACGCTTGATTATATTCTAAATAATAAAATAAAAATAAAGATGTTTCATAGTTATCTTAATATTACTTTAGGTGGCTACTACAGTGTTCACTCCATTAGAGTACGGTGTTGTGGGTATGTCTGAAGAGGATGCTGTAACTACACAGGGGGAGGGTAGCATAGAGGTAAGTCAGTGGTATCTTACATATATTGGTACTGGAGTACTCGGTCACTATCTCGGTGTCGTTGGTTAACTAATTCCTTCCACATATTTTTAAAGTATGACTCTGTATTGTTGATATTTCTTCATAACTTTGCTTTACATCATGTACTCTATGTATTAAATATACAGTTGTTGATATAGGTTGAGTGTAAATTGTGTTATTGTTTGACCCGAATATCAAAGTGTTGCATGGGGAAAAGGTTTACTACATGGTATTCCATGGCAATGCCGTGCTATAGAAAATGGCAACTATCTACCTTTTAAACAAGTGTCAACTTTATGAACTGCAGGTATTCTGTGCCTGTCGGAAAGTATTGCTTGTCTATTAACGTCCTATAAAATATATTTTTCTGTAATTTAGATATTCCGTGTTGATTATCTACGTTTACAATAACCTTTACAACACAATTTAATTAACTGCATGTAATTCATGTCTGTTACATACCTGTATTGACTGCGTTTCTCTACTGTAGGCATATTCACATCTACTCTATACCTTTACAGTATGTCTTTGGGTCCCCACATTTTGGCTCATAGCACCACCGATGAGTACTAGGAGGAAGGAACAGCTGTATTATACAGTGTAAATCATGTTTGGCATACTGTATTATTACCAACTGTTAGTGGTGCAATTATCTTTGTGTGTTACGATCATCTTTTTGTAGGTATAACATGCTTCCTTTAGCAGTATATACATGGAGCAACCTATTTACGAGTGGACTTCCTTTGGTTTACTATGCCGTTTAGGTATAATGACCTTTAGAGGAGTCCCTTCTCTTGGTTTACCATGCAATTTATGCCTAGTTACCCCCAGGGAATGCTTTCTGTAGGTTTACAATGTCAATTAGGGCTTATCGTGTTCAGGGTATTCCTTTCTCTACTGTACTAACACCATGCCTATTACATTAAGACAGAACATGCATTTCAAAATTTACTATTTAATTAGGTTTGATTACCTTCAGAATATGTCTTTATGTACTGTAGGTGTACCATGCGTTCTACGCTCCCTTAGAATACGCCATACCAGGACGAGACGTATCCCAGTGTTACATTAAGGTAAGTCTAATATTGCTGTGTAAAAGAAGGCATACCTCGGTACCGATATTCTTCTTACATTTGTAACGCTATTTTCTCAATGTTCTATGTTAGTAGGGTGGGAGCAATGGCTGCAAACTGGGTATTTATTTTACTTTTCGTCAGCTGTTGTTGAACAAAGAGAGTGTGTGAGAAAGAACATGTTGGAAGTGTGCGGGTATGGTACTCTGTGAGCAGGAAAACAATGGTCAGTAACAGGACATTTATTATGATTTGCTGGCTTTTTGTTTATTTATATAGGTAAATGTACTTTTTCGTAAGAAAAAAACCCACTGGTGGGGAACTGGAAATGCATTATCCCCCGTTCAACAAAGTTGGAGGGAATATAGAAACGGGGTCTGTGCGTAAACATCAATGAAAAGTGGTCCATATATGGGAATAGCTAGAAATAACAAGGAAAATATTTACATCAATAATGCAATAAAGTCACTCGTGACCTACATTTCAATCTTGACTGAATTTTGATATTGCTTCATCAATAAGATTCAGAAGTATCGTTCTGTCCGCATTTATGCAACTATAATGTTGCTAGTGATGCTCTTCTGATCACTTGTTGCGGTTGCCAATTCGACCTACATTTTATGCTTCAACGAATTCCTCAATATACTCACAACACATTCAGAGGAATCCTTTAATCCATATTGGGATAATTGTACATGTAAGTGCGTTATGGTAACTATAAACGCTACGTGAATGCATTGCAATAATGGTGCAGCTAGGGTGCTCTACTGAAAACATGCTGAAGTAGCTTAATTTTTTAACATTTCACGCATCAATGATTTGGTAAAGAATATATTCTTAAATTCATATATAAGCTGAAAGAGACTCGTTCTGTCCATAGTTGGGATACTCTAAGTGCCCAATGGATATTACTTAAACGATTTCAGCTATAGTGTCAATCTACTGCACTCAGGTTGTGGATACTAAGTTAATCTGCGTTTTACTCTTTAGTGACTTCCTTGATATTGTTTCTTTTATTGCATTAATGCAACTATACGTGTAACAAGTATAATTCTTGCATCAAAGATGCAGTTGGAGTCTCTTTTCTACAAGCATGTTATGGTACACTTCAGTGACTTCCTAAATATTCCCTAAAAACATCAATAGGAACCATCAGTCCTTATCAGGATTACTATAAGTGCTGTATGGTAACTGTACATGTAAGTGCTACATGGATGTGACAGGTGCAGCTAGGGTCGCTCCCCTGAATGCATGCTGCGGTAGCTGAATTGATTTACATTTCACGCTGTAAAGATTTTGTTAAGAAGAAATGATCTAATCCATTATTATTTTTCTGAGCGACTTAAATGTATGCATGTTACAGCATATCTGCTATTGTTTCATACTTTCGGTTTGAATAATTCTTAAAAGGGTGTAGCAATATGAATGTTAGCTCTCTGTATGGTTCACCATTGCGGCATCGTAGCGTGGACCTCTAATACTGACTTATTTATGTAGCGTGGGATAATGATGACAGCGTCATCTTGTTTTGATTATGAAACATTTTCTTTATCCAGGTAATATGTGAGAATGGCGATGATGGGAGAGTATTGGGCATTCATCTAACAGGACCCAACGCAGGGGAGATCGTCCAAGGCTTTTCCGTTGCGATGGGGTACGTTATACATACTGCAAAAGTGGAAATATTTGCGTTTTTCGCGTTGAGTAAATAAGCACGAAACTACCCACACACGGAAAACTATTTATAGATAATAAATAAATAGAAAATTGATTTCCGAATTATTACCTACGCGAAAATGTCCACACCAAAGACAGGGTTAAAGGGTCACAATAGGAACATTTCCACACCAAAGACAGGTTTAAAGGGTCACAATAGGAACATTTCCACGCGCAATGATTTCAACTTTTACAGTATATTAAAGGAAATATGAACTTAGATTTGAATTTATTTCTCTGTTGAAATAAGCTGACCGCTGTTGTTGTTAGTTGTGATTAATAAGTAAAACAAGTGATCATTTTAAACACTAATGTGTCAATTTAGCTGAGGAAATGCATGTTTATATTACCAAGCATGACATTTCAAATTATTTGATCGACAACATACTGATATTGTTGAAGTTGGGGAGAAACTTTTTTCAACATAGGAGTGGTACTCCGATAGAAACTTTCATCACTTTCTGTTTAGTCTAATGTAAGTGCAGGCTGAGGTGCGACACATCTATCCTCAAGATTTAGACTTAAATATTCCACGGACTCGTCCTTGTCTGTTTTAATTCTTGACTATCGTATGGAACTCTTACTCCTCATGAGTCCAAGGTTTCGCCTCTGGAGTGTTTGGGATTCATGTCTGTCCTTTGTTACTGTGTCTACAGGGTGCATTTCTTGTTTTTATGTACTTGGACAGTCAGTATTTTCTTATGTGTGGTCAGTGTGATATCACTGGCCAAACTGAGGATAGGATAAGTGTTTGTCCAAACACGGAATTTAGTGGGTCAGTATAAATTGCTGTTTATAGATAAAACGCCCTTAATATGATATTGAGATCTTTTCAACTTCTTTCCCTCTCAACTAGTATGTAAATTACTACAGTGGACCTAGATTGTGGTGTTTTGTTCGATGTCTGTTATCCGTCGTCTGTCTAGAGTCGTCCGTTAACATTTGCATTAAACTACTGAGTGTCCTTCAACAACATTTTAGGGCCAACATCGTTAGCCAAAACGGTTCAACTGTTTTACCAATAAAATGGCTAAGAATTGATTCAGAGGAACCCTTACTCCTAAACTGGACAAATAGAACTTCTAAAGAGGGTAATATTTACGACAGTTTACATTTTCAAGACATTTGTTTTGTACTGTAGTACGTATTTATCTTCTTTTTCAATTTCAAATTTGATAAACAAATTGGAGTGAAACAGTAAATTCTGTGTCATCCGTCATTCTGCATTGTAGCTTTTAATGATTGTGAATTTCTTGTTGATGTCCAGTTCCTCTTCAAACCAATGACTCGATGTTCACGGAGAGTTAATACATGTTAGCGTTCCTATGTAATGACGCTAGCTCTTTTTCCCATGTAAAAGTATTAGAACTATTCCCTGTAATACGTTTGCTACTCCGACGTACCCTAGGCTACTAGAAATACTACATGATAAGGCTGACTATTAATTTTATTTGGTAATTTATGTCATCGTATCATGGTCAGTATCAGTAGTTTTAAACGATATTTTGCTGGAACAAAGGTATTTACAGTGACATATACAACCTTGAACTATTATTTATTTTATCAGGGACGGATAAATTTAAAGATAGAATTGTTAAACCCCGGTCATAAAACTTTGATAAAAGGTCAAATGTCATTGGCGTTAGAAGGTGTAAACAAAATGTCGATATACTTTGTGAAAAATCGTTATAAAGTGAAAACTGGAAGACAACAGGATTAACCCACATGACAGAAACATGCAATGTATTGTATTATCAATGTCGCTGTTTACGTGTTCTACTTTAATACACTTATAACACTTAAGGATTAAAGGAAAGTCTCCCTCAAACACATTCACAAAACTTCACAGGAATACCGCAGTATCAACATAAATCTTGCCACTGCTTGCTCGATATAGACATTCAATAACAGATGTATTGTAATTCACTTTTCCACTTCAAACCTTCTTTTCAATTGGAACTGATTTGACCTTTTGATATTCGTATCATACTGTTCATATAAATGTCGCATATTATTGATGTGGGCTTATCGCCAATACTGAAGGTGAGAAGGCGGTAATTGTTCTTTGCTCAGCAGCTTAAGAATTGCTGTATTATCAATCTAAAGGAATTCACAAAATCGTTCATAATATGCCCAAAATCAAAGTACATAGGCTGGGGGTGGGGGTGGGGGTGGAGTTATGATGTCATAATCGAGGATGATTCATCAAGTGCTAAGACGTATTTCAATGAACCCCTCCCCTTCATCACACTGAATCGATCCCACCTATCTAAAGTAAAACCTCTCGTCATCAGCGATCGTACACACTAGTTTGTTTACTATCATGTAAACTAAAATAATAAATGAAACTAACCGATTAATTGAAAGCATAACCAATCATAATATAAGCGTAAAACGATACAAAGAAAGCTACTATTACCTAATTTGTTACGAAAACCAGCTCAGCTGTTCCTGTCGCTGTTCACTGTTCGACCTATTTGAATTATACCAGAAAATGTACTTTACTTTTTAATTCTTTTTCCCCAATACCGATATATTGTTAGGATGTATCATCAATCTTCGGGTATTTACCGTAAGTTGACTTATACAGATGCTCTGTTTGTGTTGTCCGACAGATGTGGCCTGACCTGGCGACAGTTGTCCAGCTCAGTAGGTATACATCCCACAACCGCCGAGGAGTTGGTCAAGCTTCACATCACAAAGAGTTCAGGTCTAGATCCCAAGGTTACAGGATGCTGAGGTTAGACATCCCTATGTATGTCCCCTAGGTTTTATGTATCAGCACATATTGACGTACGTGTGTGTGTGTGTGTGCTTGTGTGTGTGTGTGAATGGGTAGTTGGTGTGTAATATGTAAGTAATGATTCTTTGATGTTTTTTTAATTAAAAGAATCATCTTTCATTTATATTTATTCAGGTATACATGCATTGCAACCATATATTGTTTTATATATAGATCATTGTTTTATTTTACTAGGGCATTAATTTGTTAGTTATTTTTCACTTGAACCTGCTCAAAGTATAGTATTGTTGTTGAATTCGACGTACGATGTTATTACTTTCTCTGTCATACCGACTGACATTGTTATCAAATCGTTGTCAAACACGTTTATCACATACCTTATTCTTGAAGCTGATTTTGTAGATATATATTTGACCGAGAAATTATAACAGGAATCTATTGTGCTGTCAACGGACATTATGATACACCTGATCCCATGTGTATCGTTCAAACAACAGGGTATTTCGCCAGCACCAGAACTGTTGGATCGGGTTACATGTGTGTTTGAATGCAGGTTTATAACGTGATGTCTGATACTAATTGTAAAATTAATACTGTACCATGATATGACATACTTGGATTTGTGAAATGATTTTCATTTTTGTCTGACAAACGTAAAATGGCAATATCGATGTATTTATTACTGTGTTAATACTTTTGTAACATATTTCAGTTATTTGTGGAATTTAAATGGAATTATTCCAAAACAAAACTGCAACGTTGGGTCGATTTTGATATATATTTCGGCAGAAAAAAAGGGCTAATACTATATGTAATTCGCGGATGGAAACGATATCATCAGTATCTAAATGTGCGTCAGCCGGCTACTTATAGTCTCATTGCGTGCCAACATTAATTAAAAACCGAGATAAGATCTAAGCAAAATGTCTTATATATCTCTTTTCTTGCTCATTTTGATCTTTGAGAAGGCTTCCTCGTTCTTACTCGCATAGTGTTGTGAAGATTGTCACGTTTTTTAAGTGTATGGAATATAATCCTGATAGAGCTGTGTGACTGATATTTAATGTTTGGGTGATAGTTTATCATATCGTGTGCCTTTTATTTATGTTATACATTTTGGATTGTGAGGTCCTGTAGTACAAGCGTGGCAGATTTTAGATGATACATTTTGTAATAATATTATTATGCAAGTTATTACAAAAACACACGTGCTATGTATAATAGTGTACCAGTATGTACCTGTTACGGTTGTGTATGCTGTTTTTGTCTTGATACATTACCTAGGGCGACGGCATAGGGACATGTCATACTATATATTCGTCCTCATATTCACGCGTCACATGACTTTTATGAAGGTCATGGTTTTAAAACTGCGAAAGCCGTAAACCTGACCGGATGTTGATCATACTGACCTTGAATGATTAAATTATGTATTACTGTTGCTTTTGTCTGGTGTTTGTTTTCTGTCTCTCTTAAGTATGTGTGGATTTGCTACGCATCGATACATTTTTCAGATACACTCTGACTTATTGCGTAACACGTTCAGGTTTGAGTTTTTTGTTTCCTTCATTACTCTACGTACAGTAAACTAAAGAGAACTGTATCACATTGCCAATATACAGCTCCAAAATTACAGCTAAAATTAATACAAAATGACCTATGGGAAGCTGGTCAAGACGTGTAATAGGCACGGGCGATGTATCCTTGGCCCATTAAACATTAGGTAAAGCAATATCGATGATAGGAAATCCGCTAGTTAAGTATAACAATGCATGTTGTACTAAACTAGAAAAAAATACTTCGGGCAGTATTAGGTAGATTGACCTACTGTCAATAACATGTCAAGTATGTGAACGCTCCCGTACATGCATGCACTTTGAAAATCAATGGAGAAGGAAAAGTTACTTAGGTTAAACAGTGTTAATTGCCACGTAAATGTGTGGTACTATGACGTAACGTCGGTTGTATACTACGATGATCGACGTGGCCTTCACCTGTGTGGTATTGGCTATTAATTCTGATTATCGTAAACTTTGTCTTGTAAAAGGCTGTTGTGTTTCTGTCAGACCGAAATCGATTAGTTTGGAATCTATCAGCAGGTAAAGTTGTTTTATCTACAAGTTTATGTTACAAATTGGCCTGGGTTCAAACTCGCTTTTGTGGTAACGGCGTTCGGGGCTTCAGAACCGTGATTAGAGATAACGGCACATGTAGAAGCAAATCAATTATTTCAACAAAGGACAAAACGTGTTGCAGAAATGGTCATTTGCTAAACACAAGCGATCGCTGTAGGGAGTAAGTGATGTAAATATGTTTACACGTATCGAGGTGTATGCCTAAACGCCGTTTAATATGTGCAAATAAATGTATAGTATACAACCAATGAAGAATTTTCAAGATTTTGTCTTAGTTAACCTATATACAATCATTGGTACACGCCCCAAATGGCGCTAAAAATAGTTGTTTGTATTTCACAAACTTAAAAGACGCACCTGCTCTAAATACACCTTCAAAGGAAATGTTTCTCATTCTCAATCAGCACAATAAAAATAAACAAAGACACTTCGATGCCTTTCACATATCTTGTTGCACATGCTTTGTCTGTGACACAATATACATATGAAGTATTGACAATACTTTATCTTTAAAAGATCTTTCTGGAAATGTCACAATACACAGGTCATTGTCGTCAGTAATGACACTCGGATACTTGACATGTTGTTTTTAATTTGAAAGCGATTTTTACTGACATTTGATATGTTGTTTTTGAGCTGTACTCGCTGACGTTTGTGATATGAAATGTTACGAACTGTTCTTGTTGGCTCTGCTTAAATAGCTCAACTCTTTATTACTTACCGCGATTTCGCGGCCAGACAAAACATTGCCGAACGGTCATTTACAAGTTGTTCACCGCCTCTCTTCGGAAATACGTTTTTGTTGTCATAAAAGTTTAACACTGGATGCATATATAACCGTACAGTTTGTAATTACGATACATAAGACAATATCAATCGTTTACCGCAAAATGGTCAAATGCTTACGGCACCGCTGTCAGTTTGTAAAAACGCTATGGTTTTCGTTAATAATTCAAGACGGGAATTTATTCTTTGAAAGAGCATAATTATACACTTCTTTAAGGTCTCTCAAATATCTGTTATCAGGAAACGTTTGTTCTCAGTTCAATTATAACGCTTTAGATGAAAATCGATTGGTTAGTGGAAGTGTTTTCACAATTATTTTGTAACAACAAAACATACACCTTAAACGTCATCAAAAAGATACGGAGCGGTCTCCAGGTTACAATTTCACTGTCAAAGGAATTGCATCATTGACTTATCAATTGATGGTGTTTCGAAATTTATATTAAACAACTGTGCATTGTCATGTGCACTCCCTATGATGTTATTGACACATCAGCATGTACGCTATATAACGGGTAATAAATTATGTAAATAATTAATTTAAGTGTAACGCATTAATAATCTTAAATGCACTTATATAATTAGTAGGTCTGAAAGTACATTTTCAGATAGGAAATGGACAGTTCACATTGGGGGCAATCGAGCCTAAAAGCGGTTTGATATATTTATCTCCAAGAGATAAAGATGCCCGTAGTAGGATGGGGGTTGGTAGGCTGTTCCATAATTCTGTTGCTGGAATTATGTGTTTGGAAATAAAAAAAAATAATAAAAAAAATCATGAAATATAAAATTGTATTAGTAATTTTATTTTTTACAATTAACAAAAAACAATACTTTAATCCCGCTGATTGAACGTATGGCAGCTACCAATGGACTTTGTGTTCATGTTACCATGCCGACATCAATGAGAAAACGTCTTCACAGAATGTGTGTGCATCATGCGAGAAGTGGAAAGTAACACCGACATACATATACCACTGAAGACTGAGTCAAAACATAAAATAATGGTTAGTATTAATGGCAGGTTCGTTTTTCTAATGAAAATGAGAGACAGTTAAGTGTTATATTACTGATGTGTAATGATTATACATCAACATCGAGCGAGTGGAAGGCTAAGTGAAACAACATCGGATTGGAACAAAGTTGAGAAAGCAAAATAAACATTGTGATCTACGAAATAAGTTTGGTATTTAACCCAAATGAAGATAGTCACACTGACAGAGCCGAAGTAGAGAGAAAGGATGACACAGGACTAGGTATGAGGGATGGATGCATAGCGTGCGGCTAAATAAATTTCGCAATACATTGTGTACGGTACGCAATGTATCTCGGTGTCAAATAAACCGGGTAGTGCCTGATACTTTGTAACACTTAAAAACACAACAGGAACTGTTGGTCTAACATTCGACTAAATAACCTATTGGAAAACACCAACTTGTGCCTAAAGCATGATGATATGGATAGAGTCTACAAAAGAACCTACAGCATTTGTCAAACGTGGCAATTAATGAAATGTAATGGTAATGTACTACTGTGGTGTGATTTTGGCTTGACGTTACAGGGTCATCTACTATGTAATTCGGTGTATTATGTTCCTCGCCGTAACAAAGTCGACTTAGCGCTCGCCCCTGCTGTGACGAGTTTTGTGTAGCTGTATTGCTTTGCTGGTTTTACATTTACAATGTAGCCAGTCTCGGGTTACACACAGGCGTTTGACAAGGGCAATGTCGTGCCTGAGTGGAAGTACATTTTACTAATTCTGACTATAGAATAGAATATCATCACCAGGTTGTGTTTAATTGACCGTTTACAGAACCGTATCATTTCGGTCACACTTTCAGATAAATCTTAATTAATATATTTTCTGTCTGCAACGTCATTTGTTTAACCATTTTAATGTTATTTGACAAAGATATAAAACATCACCAGATACGTTGTTACACACTCACAAATAGCGAGATTAGCGTCAAAGTTCAAACTCTGTTTGCCAGGGCTGATTTTTAGCTTGTTGTCAAATGTGTTTCACATTTAATATATCTGTGTCAATTTCTAAAAATGTGTATCCTTCACTTGTGCAGGAACTAGCATGACACATTTCCAATGCAATTTTCCACACATTTATATTTACATTTGATGTCTATTTCCCAAAAATGCAAAGAACATTACTATGTTGAGTTCATTTTGAAGTTTCCAATTGTCAGTTGGGCATTTTAAGTTCCGTTTCGTAATCTTTTATTCATCCCAGGGCACATAGTACCTGTATCTGACGGACATAAAGACCACTGTAAATGGTAGGTATGAATAGAGTATGGGTAAATTGTTAATGTATACAGTAACGTTTTGAAATTCAAATGAATTAATATCAATACAAAAAACCACACATTATACTGGGGATTTAGGTCGGAATACATTTTGGTATTGTGTGATTTTTAACCGACGTCGTTTCATTGATATCGCAGTTTAGCATAATAATTTGCCAACCCCAACTGTGATTAAAATAATTGATATCAGTGATATAGACATTTCATTTAAATGCTGTTCGCTGAGATATGTCCCACCCTTGTCGAAGGCCTGGTATCAAAAAACGTGTCGCGCTATGTGTACACGATAACGTGTCGTTTGATTGTAAAGTGGCGGTTCTGTTTACTTTTTAAATTGTGCATATACAGTATGTAGGTACGGCAGCACGGGGTATTTAGTCAGCGGTGCACATGTGGGCACGTTCTACAAGTGATTAATGTCAGTTTTCCAAATTTCAAACGTGCAACGTGTTATGGTAACCAGACGGAAACGTGACCATGGATGACAGGAACACACGACAGTGTATTTTTGTAATGGTGGGATAATTACTGGTGTATCAAAGTTATATCAGCGTACGGTGAGTGTTATGTATAAAAAAGTACTCAATTATTTTTACATCATTTGATTAGATAGAAGATATCTACTTTTTCCATGTGTATATAATTACCCTTAAAATTACAACCTGCCACACGTGGTTTTAATTTATAAAAGTTTTACTTAGTAAATTTACATAGCGTTCGTCCTGCTGAAGAAGAGACATGTTTATAAACATACCCTTTGGTAGTGATTTATCTTACTGGGTACAGAACAGAACGTATACCATACAGTGATGATATATTGCAATACATTATGGTTCATATAATGATGTAGGCGATACTGATGCGTATCGAATGTACAACTAGTGAATAATGCCTTCTTAAGTACACTACTATAGTAAGTGCTGTGGTTATATAGATGTGTTTGATCACGGAAATAGCTGATGTGATAACAATCTCTGTCAATTATAGTAAAAAATATGGCGGGTCACTGTATTAATATTAGCTTTCACGGGACAGAACCAGCACACTGTGTCCTGATAGGGTTTAATGTTATTCTTCTTAACCAGGTGGGTAAGGGTGCGCAGCTTATAACAAACACAGTGACAGAATGATAAACATAGGCATTATTCCCAATACTGTCTCCAAATGATTACATTGTAACGGGATGATTGGTTGTGATAAGTTGACATGAGCTTATATGTGAAACTAATAAACTTTCCTGTGTGTAATGTACGCGAAAGGAAGATATATACAGGTCTGCTGTGTACCGTATAGTTATAATGATCAGCATACTGGACTCATTGTTCAATTAAACGTAACTAAGTAGGCTTAAATGTATTGAGATGATTTCATACTTTAAGCCGCTACCTGCCCACAATGGATTTAAGGCATAGCTTCGAGTTGGTAACATGATTTAAAGTAACACTCTTTATAGCCGATACTAAACAGGAAACACGTCAGTACATTATATGTCCTGCGGTGTTTGTTTACTCTTCAGTTAATGATTTCTGACTTACTGACAATTTGACTCCAGTGTGTTTGTTTCGATGCAGTTGTATGCTTTTCTATTGTTTATATTTTTAGTAAGTAATATATCTATGGTATCAGGAGACACATTTCTACTTAGGTCTGAGGGGATTTTGTGAAGACGATGAAGAGTAATGATACAAATATGTAACATAAAAATCTGCCTGTATGACAAAAGTAGTCCGGGAGGTTTAAAAAACATGATTCGACAATAATCTTCATTATATTATATCGTATACATAAAAAGTATATGCGGTATGTATGTTATGGTTGAATTGGTTCACGTTTATAAGTCATGTACTCATCAATACCAGTACAGACATGAGAACTGACTCACATTTATAAGTCATGCACTCATCAATACCAGTACAGACATGAGAACTGATTCACGTTTATAAGTCATGTACTCATCAATACCAGTACAGACATGAGAACTGACTCACTTTTATAAGTCATGTACTCATCAATACCCGAACTGACATGACAACTGACTCACGTTTATAAGTCATGTACTCATCAATACCAGTACAGACATGAGAACTGACTCTCGTTTATAAGTCGTGTACTCATCAATATCAGTACAGACATGAGAACTGACTCACTTTTATAAGTCATGTACTCATCAATACCAGTACAGACATGAGAACTGATTCACGTTTATAAGTCATGTACTCATCAATACCAGTACAGACATGAGAACTGACTCACGTTTATAAGTCATGTTCTCATCAATACCAGTACAGACATGAGAACTGACTCGCGTTTATAAGTCATGTACTCATCAATACCAGTACAGACATGAGAACTGACTCACGTTTATAAGTCATGTACTCATCAATACCACTACAGGCATGAGAACTGACTCACGTTTATACGTCATGTACTCATCAATACCAGTACAGACATGAGAACTGACTCACGTTTAGAAGTCATGTACTCATCAATACTAGTACAGACATGAGATCTGACTCACGTGTAAAAGTCATGTACACATCAATACCAGTACAGACATGAGAACTGACTCACGTGTATAAGTCATGTACTCATCAATACCAGTACAGACATGAGAACTGACTCACGTTTATAAGTCATGTACTCATCAATACCAGTACAGACATGAGAACTCACTCACGTTCAGAAGTCATGTACTCATCAATACCAGTACAGACATGAGAACTGACTCACGTTTATAAGTCATGTACTCATCAATACCAGTACATACATGAGAACTGACTCACGTTTATAAGTCATGTTCTCTTCTCATCAATACCAGTACAGACATGAGAACTGACTCACGTTTATAAGTCATGTACTCATCAATACCAGTACAGACATGAGAACTGATTCACGTTTAGAAGTCATGTACTCATCAATACCAGTACAGACATGAGATCTGACTCACGTATAAAAGTCATGTACTCATCAATACCAGTACAGACATGAGAACTGACTCACGTTTATAAGTCATATACTAAACAACATCAGTGAAGACATGAGAACTGCGCTACCTTTAGTTCATCATTTACTCATCAACATCAATGAAGACATGAGAACTACGCTACCTTTAGTTCATCATGTACTCATCAACATCAATGAAGGCATGAGAACTGCGCTACCTTTTGCTCATCATGTTCTCATCAATAGCAATGAAGACATGAGAACAACACTACCTTTTGTTCTGCCGGTCTATGATGATCGCAGATTCGAGGCCTACGTGTGGCAGTCGTCAGATACTGATCGCAGGTCGGTAGTTTTTCTGGGTGCTACGGGCCTTCTCCACCAGCAAACCATGGAACGTCCTTAAATGGCCACTGCTGTTAAATTTGTAATAGGACGTAAAGCACAAACAAACAAAAACCTTTCCAAATCCTACAATTCAGGACGCCAATTTAACTGGTTTAGATGGTAGCACTGAATTGAGCGTCATATGTTGTATGTGCTAACCATATTTGCAATGTATAAAGACAGCTGTACTCAAATTTAACTATTAAGTATAAGAACAAACGATCTATTTTTATAGTTGAATCGTGATAATTAAAGTGTGTGTATAGTATCGTGTCCGGCCTGTATAATAGGAAGACAAGTCAATGCCGTCTCGAAATTAGAGACCAGTACACCTAACACCGATTACGAGTAATTATGTACTAATATCGAACTACATGTAACGCAAAACGACGATACGAGTAATGACAAAAAAGGAAGTAATCTGTAAATAAGCAAATATTTATAAAAACAGTCCCTCCTCTGAAGCCGGAAGTCTAACCAGTAATACACCATATAACGTGTTTAGAGTTTGCAGGTCACATAAGAGGAATGTATTTCTGCGAAATACGGAAGTGAGGAGTGATATACGTGTATGTATTAGAAAACAACCTGTAATTCGATAACAAGTTGACAGCAGCCTTCTATAGGTATTTATTTGGACGAGTGCTTATGGAAATTTTCATCCTGAGAGAGATGTTTATGTTGATTACATTTTGACGGATGCCCCTGCGGTACAGTACCTTTCAGTAACATATGTTTCTGCCCTGTTTTAAAGAACCGCTGCATTGATTTACCCCTTGTCTTGTATTCACATTATTCCGTCTATTGTCAGAGTGTCTGGGAATTCGTCGAGGTATCTTCGTAGTATATCTTCCGAATTTATAGTAAGTCGGTATACTCTGTTGAGTGGTATGTTATGTAAGTCGGTATACTCTATGTGGAGTGGTATGTTATGTAAGTCGATATACTATGTGGAGTGGTATGTTATGTAAGTCGGTATACTCTATGTGGAGTGGTATGTTATGTAAGTCGGTATAATCTGTGGAGTGGTATGTTATGTAAGTCGGTATACTATGTGGAGTGGATGTTATGTAAGTCAGTATAATCTGTTGAGTGGTATGTTATGTAAGTCGGTATAATCTGTGGAGTGGTATGCTATGTAAGTCAGTATACTCTGTGGAGTGGTATGTTATGTAAGTCGGTATATTCTATGGGGAGTGGTATGTTATGTAAGTCGGTATAATCTGTGGAGTGGTATGTTATGTAAGTCGGTATAATCTGTGGAGTGGTATGTTATGTAAGTCGGTATACTCTGTGGAGTGGATGTTATGTAAGTCAGTATAATCTGTTGAGTGGTATGTTATGTAAGTCGGTATAATCTGTGGAGTGGTATGCTATGTAAGTCAGTATACTCTGTGGAGTGGTATGTTATGTAAGTCGGTATATTCTATGGGGAGTGGTATGTTATGTAAGTCGGTATAATCTGTGGAGTGGTATGTTATGTAAGTCGGTATAATCTGTGGAGTGGTATGTTATGTAAGTCGGTATACTCTGTGGAGTGGTATGTTATGTAAGTCGGTATACTATGTGGAGTGGATGTTATGTAAGTCAGTATACTCTGTTGAGTGGTATGTTATGTAAGTCGGTATACTCTATGTGGAGTGGTATGTTATGTAAGTCGGTATACTCTATGTGGAGTGGTATGTTATGTAAGTCGGTATACTCTATGTGGAGTGGTATGTTATGTAAGTCGGTATACTCTATGTGGAGTGGTATGTTATGTAAGTCGGTATACTCTATGTGGAGTGGTATGTTATGTAAGTCGGTATACTCTATGTGGAGTGGTATGTTATGTAAGTCGGTATACTCTATGTGGAGTGGTATGTTATGTAAGTCGGTATACTCTATGTGGAGTGGTATGTTATGTAAGTCGGTATACTCTATGTGGAGTGGTATGTTATGTAAGTCGGTATACTCTATGTGGAGTGGTATGTTATGTAAGTCGGTATACTCTATGTGGAGTGGTATGTTATGTAAGTCGATATACTCTATGTGGAGTGGTATGTTATGTAAGTCAGTATACTCTATGGGGAGTGGTTTGTTATGTAAGTCAGTATACTCTATGTGGAGTAGTATGTTATGTAAGTCAGTATACTCTATGTCGAGTAGTATGTTATGTAAGTCAGTATACTCTATGTCGAGTAGTATGTTATGTAAGTCAGTATACTCTATGGGGAGTGGTTTGTTA